GAACTGACAGCCAGAAAGTGAAAGCTGCAGGCGCCACAGCAGCAGGAGAAGTAGCAGGAGCAGTTGGGCACCACCTGCTGTCCGCGAGGATGCATCGCGCCTTGCTTGTCCGCCGAGCGGCCACTGCTCAGGTAGTGGCATTACGCAATGAGGAGACCGATCGGCGACCAGCGAGTGGATGGACTCACTTGCGCAATGCCACCACCACCACCACTTTCCAGCCGCAACACTGTAGCGATATTCGCAGACTGGATGCAGTGCTNACGCAATGAGGAGACCGATCGGCGACCAGCGAGTGGATGGACTCACTTGCGCAATGCCACCACCACCACCACCACTCTCCAGCCGCAACACTGTAGCGATATTCGCAGACTAAATGCAGTGCCAGGCGACGCCGCCCGTCCTCTACTGATGATCCGAGGGCGCGAATGCTAATGAATTGTGATTAGGAATCCTTGGTTAAAGTCCTTAGTTGTTGCCTAGGAGACTGAAGCAAGGTAAAGTCAGAAGGATTCGCAAAAAATAATGCTTTCATTAGATGCAAAAATTGGAAGGTTGACTAAATGGTGACAAAAATTAAATCTGCTCAGAGTGAGAGCAAGACTTAATGACTTCTCAACAATTGGCTCGCTACAGTGAAATTAAAATTAAAACAACTAACAGGTGATATTTACAGAGTACAGTGAACGCCTCGATGGTATCGATTAGAGCGGAGTTACCTTTTACATTGTCAGCTGAGAATTGCAGCAGTGGTTGAGCTCTCATCATTAATTACAGCCACTGTTCATTACTGTTTGCCGACATGTCAAGCAACTTCCAGGCGGCCTTTGGGTCAAGCTCATTCTGATCACGGCACAGCACCCAAACGTAGTGAACTCGGAAGATTTTTTCCTGCAAAATGAAAAGAATTGTAAATCAATTTACTAAAGCTGTAAACAAACACCTACCGGATCACCTTCGACGACTTTGCCCTTGGCGTCTCGAACAGACATGATCTGCTGCGTTTGGAAGGTTATGATAAGCACCGGTCCTTGCTCCATCATCTTGCCCATTTCAAGCTACAACAGATGCGTTAGTGAGTTTTGCACATAAGCTGACATAGTACTGTACCTCGAGGTTTGTAAGATCAATCACTTTGGAATCGAACACGTAGCCCATAGCTTGCGCTTGTTTAATCGGCGTTGAAAGTACGTTAAAAGGCTATAAAAGTAATATGGCAAATTAAACAGTTGAATCTGTGTGAAGGTTTCAAAATATTGCTTACCGCTTCGTAGCACCAATCCTTGAGAATCTCTAGGTCGCCTCTGAGCATCGCCTCGAGAATGTTGGGAATAATTTCGTGTTCGCATTCCTTGAGAAACTGATGCCTGTCAAAGTTAGGGTCAACTTTGCAGATTTCGGTGAGCACTTCGGAGAGTTCAGTTTTGGAGAAAAGGCCACCAAAAAGTTCGGTCATCTTGTCGGTGACCAGACGAGAGGCACGAACGACGGGATTATCACTTTCGTCAAACTTGGTCTTCATTTCAAAAACTTTGTTTACATAAGGATTGTTGTCTTTGAAGTTTTGCCAGCTAGCGAACCACTTTGAATCCTTGTGAAGCTCCACGCCGGTTGCTTCGCTATGAGTACATAAATAAACTAATCAATATGTAGATTTCAGTGGATGTGGCAACTCACTCGTTTGGTTCAATTGGCCTTGTATTGGAAAATTCATCAGAGAATTCCTTTCGCTTTCTCAGCTTTACTGGAGGTCTGTACAAGTGAGCGGTTGAAAGTGGGGTCTCTCCGATTTCATCTTTAACTGTCTTGACAGTCTGGTAGTTTTAAAGAAAAAGGGATGTTAATTCGAACGTAAAATTACAATGACTTCGAACCTTAGAAACAGTTTGAAAGGCCTCACTCTTTGAGAGCTGTTCAATTTGCTCTGCTGCCTTTTTGGCCTGCTTTGAAATTTCTTCCGCTGCTTCTTTGCCTTTTCGTCCGATTTCCGTTTTCTGAACCTCCTCAAAACCCTTTCCAAGTTTTTGCTTAAATGAATCAATTTGCTCAATTATTTGTTGGCCACCTTTACTTGTTTCCGCTTCAATGTTCTCCTACAATAAAATAATTAAATTCAAAACTCTTGAACATAGCAATCAAGGTTTCACTTACGAATTTCTTTCTTGCTTTCTTTAGTGCATCAGATTCTTCAAGCTTTTGAGCTTCCTCGCGAAACTTTTTTAAA